GCGCCGCACGTGCCCGCGCTAGCCACGCCCACCTCCCCGGCTCCGTTCCCTCCCCTGGAACGCCCAGCCGGATACATTGTATCTTTTCTTGCTTCCTCCTCCTTCCCTCCCCCCGCACTGTCAACGTTCGGAGCGTACCGATTGGCCTGAGGGGCGCTGCGAAGCCGCCCAATGGCCGGCGACGGGCGTTCCCATTGGCCGGCCTCGGCGAGGCGCAGGCGGCTACACGTGGCTCGCACGGGCAAGGGGGTTTGCCGGCGGCTGGTGGCCCGCCCCGTGTCCCAGGTCTGCGTGTTCGCACGTTGCAGCGGCGTGCGTTCAGGGCGGGGGAGAGGAGGAGGAGGAGAGAAGGAAAGAGTAGGGAAAGGAGACGTGTGTAGGTCAGAGGCAAGCGATGGATCCTGCGAAGGCGGGAATGGGCGAATGATCGGCGGGGCGCAGACATAAAAGATTTGGTCTCACAGCCCGGGTTATACATTCGGTGCAAAAGAATGTCTTCGGTGCAAAGAATGTTGCGGGCTCTTTGGACCATCAGCGCCGGGGAGGAGATTAGGAGCAGCATCTGGGCTGTAATATTAGAGGAAAAGGGGAGAACTAATTCAAGATAGAGTGTGATGAGCCAGAGGGATCGATGGATCGTTAGCGGGGCAGACCTAAAGACTAATATACCACCCATCTGGTTGCCAAGGTCACTCTGGGCAGTTTACATGTTGAACAAATATATCATCGACAATAATTTAAAACAATAAACAATAATTATAAAATCAAAATTAACCACACAACACTAACAAATTTAATTGAAAATAATTGAAATGAGATGGAAGATGGTGAGAATGATAGTATAAATATTAAAACCAACACTGTATTATGATGTTATAAGGTCCAGAAAAGCCTATCTAAAAACCATGTTTTTAGCAATTGTTTGAAAGTTCCCAGTGAAGGGGCCAGGCAGATTTTGGTCCAGAGGTTGTTTGGGAGTTGGGGAGCAACCACTGAGAAGGCCCAGTTTCCAGTCTCCTCTTTCTGGGCCTCTCTTGGGGTCAGTACTCTCAACTGCCTGGTGAGAAGATCATATAGGACGGCAGATCTCCGGAGGAGACATTCTGCCAGGTATCGAGATCCCAAACCATTCAGGGCTTTTGTCTGTTGGCACCATAACCTTGAAGCTGGCATGGAAACGAACAAGTATCCAGTGCAGGGCAGCCAGAGTAGGGGAAATAAGATAGTATTTCTTGACAACGTTCAGTAGTCTGGCCGCCATATTCTGGACCTGCCAAAGTTTCTGTAGCAACTTCATAGGCAGCCTCATGACAGCAATCTAAACTCAGTGCAGGGGCCAGTGTGGTGAGGGTCAAGGCAGGGACGCAGCTGGGCATTCTGCCCTAGATGGAAATAGGTTGAGCGGACCCCAGATGCTATGTGGGACTCCATGGATGGTGCTGCGTCCAGAAGTACATCTAGGCTGCAAACCTCATCTTTAATGGAGAACGTGCCCTCCCAAAGGAGAGGGAGGCACCCACCCACAGGATCTCAGTCTTGTTCTGGGTTCAACCTGAGTCTGTTATCCCTCATCCAACCCAGCACAGCGCCCAAGCAGTGCTCAAGGGACAGAATGGCATCCTCTGCAGAGGGATGGAAGGAGAGATGAGCTGGGCGTCATCCACATATTGGATAACACCCGAAGCTCCTAAACTCCTAGTGGCCTCCCCCAGGGGCCTCATATAGATATTATGGGTTGATCCCCATTTTTTTTCTCTCTGGTGGGATCCTTCGGCCATACAATGTTTAGTGCTTTATAAATGCATTTTCAGTGTGTTTGAGTTGCAGAGGGGTGTGTGAGGAAAGCGGCAGGGGGGGAGGAAGCAGTCTGCGGGGGAAGCCAACATGTCTTCTGGGAGAAAGCAAAGGTTATGGAGAGGCCAGAGGATTGGCAGGGGAGTCATCAACCACTCCAGACAGCAGAGCCCATTTTATGACTGAAAGTGGTTCAAGGACAGAACTAATAAAAAAAAAAGTGTATGTTTCTTGGTTGTTTCTACTTTTAACTCCTAGACTATCACCACCCCTACCAGCTGTGGTGGATCTCCAACTGCTAAGATAGAACCTCCTCCTGTTGAGGAAGATTTTACTGGGTCATCATCCACTGATATGCCTTTTCCCGTCTCCTCCATGACTAGATCTAATCTCACTTTCAAAAAAAGGCACTGCCCCACTTTCCAGTGATAAATGCTGTAAAATAATTATGCATTTTGTAAGAAAGCCTGGCCTTCCCAGAGTGACACACCTTTTCAATATCATTTTTGTTTTCCGAACCTGCTTGGCGTAAAAGCCACAGGGATGGCGACCTAGAAAAACAGACATGGGGATTATTCTGGTTTCCTTATTAAGGCGTTGTTAATTGGCTTAGCCAAGGAAACAGTGCAAAATAAATAAAGTGTGTCAATTAGAAGCAAAGGTTGATGATTTTGCTTCATGAGGGAGGACTAGGTGACAACCAGACTTCAGTTTATCCTGTTTACCCTGTAATGTAGGGTTCTCAACTCCAGGGCCCTCCCCATGTACAGCACTATCACTCCCACACTGCCTGGAAGATCCCGGAAGTGGCAGAACAAGATTTGGGGAGAGGTCTTTATCACCAGCTCCTGACCTTGCAGAGCAAAGGGAGGTCCCATGGGTAGAGGCAGTCTACCTTCAAATATGTATTAGCTGCTGCAAGTAATCACCTGAGGGAGGCTCTTGGGCTTTGTGACCTACTGGTAAGTTTCCAGGAAGCAACTAAGGGACGCTCCACCGGATGCCTTCCCCGGGCTTTTGACCCAGCAAGTCTTCCTGAGTGTTGTATCACACTTACAATTCCTGCTTTTTCACACAAGCCTCAGCTCTTCCTTCAGCGACAGCACTGTTTGGAAATGTCTTTTTTAAAAAAGAGATGTGTACACACAACAACAGAAGCAGAAGTCACACCTGATTCCTGTGCACAGTGACATTCTCAAACCCACCGTGTCCCATGACACCAGGTATGCAGCGCGAGCAGGATGGATCTATGGCAAACCCAACTGACATGGTTTCGTTCCAGTCTGTTTGAACAGGGCCATGTCTGTGGTGAGTCAGTGGCTTAACTGCTCCATGTTTAACAAGGAGTCTCACCCTTAGCCAAGCCCTGGGAGTGGGAGGGGACAGATCCAGGCACCTTCTGCTTTTATTGCACACCCCAGCAGGATGCCAGGAACACTGACTCCCCATATGCTGCATAAGAAAGCTCCTCCCAGCATATCTGTACATTAGGGCAGTTCTAGCCAAACTACAGTCTGGGAGCTTGGGAAATTGCTTTTTTTTTTGACTACCACTGCCAGGATCCATGATTCAGAGAACAAAGGTGAATAGACTTCCAATGTACTGTATCTGCTTGGAATCCCAAACCCATTAACTTCATTCTTTAAAACCCAAACCTTTGAGAAGGTTTGGGTTTTAAAATGAGGACAGAGCATGCTCACTAGCCCTTGAAAGAAGATGTTGTGGTGCCTCCCACATGGATTGTTTCTCATTTAAACCTAAATCTGATTGTCAGTCCCAATGACAGGCAAGCCACTGGCTCCATTACTGGATGGCTGGTTCATTAGTTACGTCACGAGCAACTCAAGGGTGCTTTGGGAGGGGAAGGATCGCCTGACAGGGTGTAGCTGTTGCTCTGGTGATCCCCGACTGTTCACATTCTTCAGGGAGGCTTCTTCCATGTCCCTCAGCACTGAATGGTGATTCACCACCTACATAAATTCTACAGCTGCCTCAAAAGGATCTACTCTTGCTGGGTACTAGTTCAGTTCAAGTCTTAGAATCCCACGATGGGCAAAGAAGCAGCTTTCCTTGAGCACCGAACAGGCTCGGCGGCTTGTCGCCATTGCCTGCTCTTCTTCTGCTCTCATGCAGCGTGGATTTGCGCATGAGCGCACTCTTCACTGGCCCGGCCCAAATCAGAGGCGAAAGCAGCCCTTAGCCACCTCCCGCTCAGTCCATTCTCAAAGGCGAGCGCCGAGTTATGAAAGAACAGCCATGCGGGCGGGCGGGAGCACGGAGGCCTTGTATGAATCGCAAGTGACACGGGTGATTTATTCCACCACTCATTCAGAACCTTTGCTGCAGCTCGTCTCAATGGCAAAAGGAAGCAGTGGTGCCACCACATCTTTGAACATGGAAGGATCCTGCGACCAGGGAACAAAAACCTGTGAATAGAAAGGCTTGTGATGAGTCAGGTTTCCTCTGATGAATCATCGACATGGGGGTGGCTTCAGAGATGGAGGGAGAAATTTGGGGCAAAATGAGGGGGGGTCCTTTCCTTACACTCGCTGCCTAACATCACTTCACCTGCAAGCTTTCTGAGGCAGGGAGCGTCTCTTTGTTTTTGGTTACACCCTCATAATATGTCCTGATGGCTTTACTGACATGTTACAATAAAGCTGTTGTGATTCTTCCTTTCCTTCTGCCAGGGGCTGGACAGCATTGCTGCTGTTCTTGCACCAGATCCGGGAGCTGGAAGCAACCATCCTTGTGTTGCATCAAAGCCTTTATTTCATGTTTTTTTCTGTCCAGAAGTTGTTTCCTTTCCTGCTTCTCTTTCTTTCTTTCCCATTTATTTTGCCTTCAGGAACCTGCTGTAGGAGAGCTTTACTTTTCGTGTCTCTTTACTTGGCCAATGTAGCTTAGTTTTCTGTACTCTCGATATAGCAAGTTTTGCTCTTTAATTATTCAGTTTTTCTTATTTTTTTCCCTTTATTTTTGTTTCTGATGCTATTTTCTTGCTTTGATGGCAACTTTCTGTGTACTGATTACGGAAAGGTGGTTTACAAATGATGGATAGAAACAGGCTAGTAATCTTTATAGTTAAACCGCTGCAAAGAAGCAGCTTTACTTACACCGGGTTTCCCCTTCCATAAGCAGAAATGTGTCTGCAATGCTCTTTCCAAAATCAGCACAGAAAAGTGTGTAAATTTTCAACATCACAGAGCTCTTCAACAGACCAGTATTAACGGAAATGAAAAAGAGGGGTTGAAAAAGCCAAGGACACTCGAGCTTAATTCCTTGCAGTCCCATAAGTTGTCTTTAGACATCTGTTTTGTGGCCAACTGGGCCTTCACTGCATTTTTATCACTGTTAGTATTGGTTCAATGTAAAATATTTTAAGCCAGGAGCCTTCAAAACAGAGCCTGGCTTTTGCTGAAATAGCTACTGCCAGCTCCTGTCATTCAGAACTAAGGCCTGGTGTTGCTGACTACCAGGTAAATGTTTGTGCACTTGTTACTGTTGTATGACCATCCCCGTGGACTGTCATTATGCCACAGAAAAGCCAGCCAGCTGGCAACATCAGCCAGGATGCAAATCCCGGCAGGCTGATTGGTGCTTGCAGTAACTTGCCTTACGTAACTGGCTGTCTGCAAAGTTTAATAACCTCTTCTCTCTCTCTCTCTCTCCTTTTCCCACTCTGCAGCGAAGAGAACACGCTGTTCTTCTCCAGGCTCCTCCTGTTCTTGCTTCTCCCAGACAGCTGCCTGGAAGAGAGGGGTGAGGAGTCCGTGAGTCAGCCTTGTTGACAGTGATCATAAACGCATTTGAAACGCTGGCGGCTGGCTGGCCCTTTGCCCAAATAAGACGCTGGAAGGTTGGTCAGGCTGCTGATTAGGGAAACAAGAGTCCCCAATTTCCTGAACTGCTGGTCTCAACCTCTCTGGATGAAAAAGGATTTTGGTAGTGAATTGACTAACCAGATGCGTACATTGGTTTTGGATTAATTAGACCCTCTGCCAAACTTGAGACAGCAGGGCCAGACTGGCAAGGGGGAAGGGTATTCTGGGAGTTCTAGTACTAAAAGCAACTTTCTAACCTCTGGCCTTCCCCTCTATTTGATCTGGATCATCAACCCAGTTCCTCAAACCGACAACAAGCTGTTTTCGGGAAGAAAATGTGTCTTGTCCACAGGCAAGGGACCTCTCCAGTCCCTAGGCGTTGTGTGACATCAGGCGCTGGCGCGGACCCACACCCCCTTCTGGCTGGCCATTCTAGGGAGTGGCCACACTTCCAAGTGCTGCTCCGGCTTAACTTCCTCCTCAACATGCTCACCGCAAACAGAAAGCGAGCGCACAGACTGCGCTGCACACATGCTTCCAGCAGAGTCTGGGGTGAATTTGTGTTTATCAAGCGAGGCTCCCCTCTGTTCCTGTGAGGCTATCGAGCCGTTCCTGTTTGCAGCCATACCTTTCGGACAGCGGCGGCCGTTTCCAGCAGAATCACCTTTCTAGGCTTTTAAATGGGCGGCTTGGAGTCTCCATGCCAACGCTTCCCCTCCAGTGCATGACCGTCAGTGACTCACGATGGACCCCTGCGGTCCCAGATGCGCAGCCTTGTTAATTTCCTGAAGGGGCCTTTCCCCACCCGTGCCCCACTCGAGCCCGGGAGAGGAAAACATTTCCGCTCGTCCTGCCCTCGCCCGGCTCCCCGTGCCTCCAACCCCTCCGGAGCAACCGGGCCGGGCCAAGTTCTCTCCCTTTTACACCCCCCCGTCTTCGTCGCCCCCCCTTCCTGCCTTGAGGTCAACAAGCACGACCGGCCAACGCCTTCTTTGGCGTTTCCCTCCGGGCCGCACACGTGTCGGCGCAGGAGTAAGGGGGAGGCGGTGGCGAAGCCGTGAATGGGCTTGGAGCCACGCCCACACCAGGTAACCGACCAATGGCACGGAAGCTCCGGCCGGAGACGGACCAATGAGGGCCCAAGTGCAGCTCTCCCATTCACAGCGCCGCCCGCGGGCGAGAGACAGTTACATAAGGAGGGAGGGGCTTCCTTCGCCTCGCACACAACACGGGACAGCGGCTACTCACGGGGTCACGTGCTCTGGACGACGTAAACACACGGGGAGCCTGACGAGCACGACCAGAGTCGTGAGAAGGGATCGCCCCAAGGTGTCTGAATTGAGACAATGTTTGGGCGGAGGAGGAAACGAGGGAGGCATCGCAGCCTAGAACTGTAAAGCCCCTTTTCATGTTTTTTTTCTCATGGGAAGAAAGGGAAAGGCGGAGCCAAGAAATCGAGAAATCCTCGGTGATCCCTACCATTTCTACACCCGCTCCATTGAGCCATGAAAACCGGGGAAGCAAGGTCCGCCTTCCGATGGGATTGTGAGTCGATAAGAGACCTTTAGGGAAGGCAGGCCCGTGTCTTCCTCTCTTCGCCTGCCTGCCTGCCTGCCTGCCAGGGTGGTTGTGAGAATAGAGTGACACGGAGAGTCAGCCCGGTGGCCTGGAGTTCCCCAGAGAAAAAGCCAAATATTCAAGGGCTCCAATACATTAATCATAATACTAATATTTACAGATTAACACAGAGGAAAAAGACCTTTCCATCTGTGGTTGTATATTATCCTGAAAAAGGAAATGTAACACTGGAGCAGGGAGGCCTTTTGTCTGATCCAGGGCAGTTCTCACTGGAAGGACAGATCCTGAAGCTGAGGCTCCAATACTTTCGCCATCTCATGAGAAGAGAAGACTCCCTGGAAAAGACCCTGATGCTGGGAAAGTGTGAGGGCAAGAGGAGAAGGGGACGACAGAGGACGAGATGGCTGGACAGGGTCATCGAAGCGACCAACATGAATTCGACCAAACTCCGGGAGGCAGTGAAAGATAGGAGGGCCTGGCTTGCTCTGGTCCATGCGGTCACAAAGAGTCGGACACAACTTATACAACAGGGCAGTTCTCATGTTGACACTTACACTTGATCATAAAAGACACAGACACACACACATCTGAAAGAGGGGGATTTTTAAAGCAGAGGACAGTAGTTCAAACAGTAGTTCTGCTGCCCAGAAGGATGCAGCTTATGACATAAAACATTGATTTGTCCAGTGACTAACAAAACTGCTTCAAATTCAGGCAAGTGGAGATAAAGTTCCATTTTATCTCCAACAGCTCAATGAAACCTCCAGGTTGAGGGGCACTCTGTGCCCAGCCTGGGAGCTTCCTAATGGGGACTCTAGGAAACAAGGCACAAAAACCGACGGGAGGCTCTTCCGGAGGATGCATGCCCAAACCTTTTTTGCCCAGCTGACTCTATTCCACCCCACAGGGAACTGGGTTGGCAAACATAAACATAACCATTAGATTTATGGAGCTGTCATCAGATCAGGCTGCAGCAAAGGCTGGCTTATGAAAGATAAAGCCGGGCATGCGTTCACAAACTGGTCAGGCAAGCTGAAAGTAGCAGCCAGCTGGTAAAAGTGCCATGGTGTTTAGATGGGGGGGGCGAAAGGGGGGAGGAGAGAAACTGGCATCAGGTTTCAGGAATGCTTTTCAATTTAAGTTTATGGGTGTGTGTTTAGTAGAAAAGAGCCGAGGGAGGTACGCAAGCAAGACTCTGAAAAAGAGCAAACCAGTTAGGCTCCCTGACCCCCGCCTTGATGTTTGCCCCTTTCCAACACCACACCCCCTGCCTATATGCCCACTGAGTGATGGGGATCGGGAGGCCAGAAGGCAGGATCCACCCATGCTGGGACCATTGTTCAAAATGCATATTTCCACTTACAAACAGAAACACTTATTTCTGATCCACAATTTATCATTCACCATTCACATCAATGGGATCATTTGATTAGCTATCTCTATTGGGACTCTGATCCATTGAAACTGCAACAACACATAGACCCCAGCCGTCTCCCCTCTGATCTTCAGCAACAGGCTTTACATGGCATAAGGCTTTAGTGGACTGCTGGCTACTTCATCAGAATTAGTACATTTTGGAAAAATTACAATGGCCTGGGGTATGCTGGCTACCCATAGAGGGCAGTCCAAACCATGCAATTTTCTTGGCAGGGCGCTCTGGGCATCACCCAGGACTAGACTGTGAGCCACCTGCCCACCCAAGCTTCAGGCTACGCTTTACCTGACAGAGTGCAGGTGGAAAGGAAAGGCCCTGGCTCTACTGGTGGGCCAGGGAGGCTCTGCAGCACATTGAAGCCCTTTGCACGAGTTATGCACCACACAGTTTCCCTCTCTGAGTGACTGCTTGTGAAAAGGACACAAGGGTTCTCTGCGGCCATGCAACAGAACACTGATATTGAGCGTCTGGCAGGCATTCTGGATTGTCAGAATCAGCACAGCAATGTTGCGTGGCTAGCGGTCTTTTTCTCTGGCTCCTTGAGGTGGACACACTGTCCTATGTCTAAGCCAAATCTCTTTGCTAACAGATCAGTGGTAGGATCAAAGGATCCACCCAGGAAAGGGAAGGAAGGTTCTCTGGCTCCTTGAGGTGGACACACTGTTCTATGTCTAAGCCAAATCTCTTTGCTACCAGATCAGTGGTAGGATCAGAGGATCCACCCAGGGAAAGGGAAGGAAGCAAGCAAGCAAGGGGAGGAAAGAGCATTACGCACCAATGAATCAAACTCCAGAGGCCAGGCCTTGCAACAAGCAAACAAACCGACAAACTCTTCTTCCTTGGTGTGTTCAGGCACTATTCAGAGGGGGGTGTGCAGGCCAGGCCTTGCAACAAGCAAACAAACCAACAAACTCTTCTTCCTTGGTGTATTCAGGCACTATTCAGAGGGGTGTGTGCGTGCTTGGGTGGTCCTGCTCCCTCTGCCCTTACCTTCACCTGCCCGGCTCCCTTTCCTCCTCACCTGGAGACAGAGGCCAAATCTGCCCACTTTTCAGTCTCCCCTCCCTTGATTTCTCTTTGTTTAGGAGTTAGAAAAGGCCATGATTTCCTTCCCGCAGCAGGTGCTTATTAACAAAGCAAAGACGGGATGGTGGCCTTATCACCGGATCCGGATCAGGGGATGTTCCCCTGCGGCTCCATCTCCTGGGATATTGTCCAGCCCAGCGAGGGAGATAAGACTCTGATCCATTGAAACTGCAACGAGGATGAGCTCATTATGGACTCTAATCCAAGCAAGCTTCCCCCACAATCTGTGACTCTTCCCGGCGCCAGGAGGCTGCTTGGAGCGTGGCCTTCTGCAAGTGCCAGGGAGCAGCTTCCTTTCCAGACCCAGAGAGCTGCCCCACAAGTATCAGAGGAGGGCCTCTGAAACCCTTGGGAAGGGGGGGGGACAGGCCCAAACTAAAAAGTCCTTTTCACTTGCAAAGTGTGTGGGGGGAGATGTGGATCTGCATTAGAGAAGTGGGAGGAGGGGAAGGAGGTGCTTAAGCTTTTCTTATAACATTTCCTGCCTAATTTGACTTCCTTTGTTCATTGATCCCCCCCCCTTTTTTTATTTTATAGCCACCGGCTCTTCCAAGAGGTCAGAACAATCTCCATAAGACATTCCTCTTTTAGACTGAACTGGCTGGGACCAGGGTCTTCATGTTGCAGGCCCAAGAAGTAGCTTTTTCAAGCTGTAGGTAACCATCCACACAGAGGTAACATTAGTTTCCAAGTAACTAAAATAATAGACACCAAGCACCTAAAATTTAAAATGATAAGAACCCAAAGCCACAGGTTCCAAAAACTCAAATTACAAGACTCCAAAGTGCCCTTCTAAGCATATAAGACCCATTTGAAGACGTGCAGCCGGGGCTGGTACGTTTCCCAGGTATTGTAGGGTAGGGTAGGGTTGTGTCGGCAGTAACATTCCCTGTTCGGTGTTCTGCTGCACTCATAACTACATGCCATTGTTTCTCCGTGTGCCTGATCTGGTCTGCTGACTGCAATAAGAGATGCTTTGCTTTGCTGTCGTATCGTTCTATCCTCAGTGTAAATCAACAGCCTCAAAGTATATGCTGACAATATTGCCTCCCTCTTGTTCCTTCTTGCACCCGAGAGGCTACCAGCCATCTCCGGACCACATTGGCTTGGGAAATCTGGGACTTACAGTACAAAAATGAATGTTCACAGGCGACGGGAGTCATAGTCCATCCTCTCCCCACACCAATGCCCTGTTAAGAAAGCTCTTGGATGGTCTGGGAAACCCTTTGGAGGAGGTTTTGGGCCCCACAGAGGGAAGAATGCTGCTGGAGCTGGGGCAGGGAGAAAGTCCTCAGGACACCCGTGCTGGATACCAAAGGGCACCCCTGGAGCCTGGCCAGGGACTCAAACAAACTTTCAATCCAGTGTGTAAATATTGTCCATGTTGGTGGGTAACAGGAGCAAAACAGCACTTTTCCACCCTGCATGGCTTCTTTCTCTAACTCTTTGGATGGTTCTGTAGGTTCTTGCAACCCCCAAGACCCAGAATCTTGTTTTGTCTGAATGTGCTCATTGTGAATCACAGCTTTCACTCGAAAGAGACCCATTCCTGCTTTGCTGGATGGATGAAATTGGCAGAGGGCACCCATCGGCAAGGCACAGCTCTCCAAAAATGAATCCGGAGGACTTGGGAGCTGGCGTGCTTTTGTGACATTCTAATAACAGAATAGCCCGACTCTGATGTTTAAGATGCCATTTCTGGACCTGTTTGCTGGCCAGGGATGGGTGTTTTTTTTTTTTTTTACTTGTTAGTGACCCATTCTGTGTATGCTCAGAGGAACCAATACCATCATGATCACCTGCCCAGATCTCAGGACCGTGGCGCTCAGGCTGAGTTGACAATGGTCTAATCTGAACCCTTGCTGAAATTCAGTCTGGTCTCCGATAGCCATAGGTGGAAAACTGTCCCTCTGCAGTCCACCATTCAGGCGTTTTTGTCTTTCCATGAGAACCCAGGATGAAAAGCACCGCCTTTTTGCATAGCGACTTGGCTGGCAGAGGCCTGAACTGCAGCCAAATTCCAGACCCCCCCCCATGTCCCCCTTGTCCTGTCCAAACACTGTGAGGACTTACATGAGACGGGTGGACGGAAGGTATTTAAGGAGCAGAGTCCTCAGGCACCGGGCAAAATTTCTCTCCTGCTCTGTGCTACCTTAAAAAAGGACCTTGCATGCTCTCTCTCTCTCTCTTTTTGGGTGGCATTTGGGGGACTCTCATGACTCCTTTGAAAAAAACCTCATGAAGGGGCAAGAGGCGGCCAGAATCACTTGCTTGAGGGGCCGCTTTGCTTCTTTTTGTTTTGGACCTGAAGGACCCATCATTGTCCAGACCAACAACGATTGAGGGGAAGAAAAAGAACATCCTTTTTTGGCACAGGGGAAAAAAAAACACCATCCCTTCCCCTGCCCTTTCCTTCCTTCCTTCTCCTTCCTCCTTTTCTTCCTTCCTTCCCTCCTTTTCTTTCTTTCTTTCTTTCTTTCTTTCTTTCTTTCTTTCTTTCTTTCTTTCTTTCTTTCTTTCTTTCTTTCTTTCTTTCTTTCTTTTTGGGTACCACTTGCCTCTTCCCTTCTGCCCTTCCAAGATGTTCCTGGCTTTCACATTCTTGCAAGTTTTTTCCCAAGCTTTGGCTGCAAGTGGTGGTAAGTTTCCATCTGTTTGCTGCTGCTGCTCCTCGCTGGGCGCTTTGTTGGCTTTTTATTTGGGGAGTGGGGAGCGGGGATGGTGGGGGGGGAGGATCAGCTGCTATTCACCGTCTCCTTTTAGACACGTCTGCGGCTGCTTCTTTCTCATATAGCTACTGCTGGCAACCTCCTGGGTCAGCTGAAACCTTCTCATTTTTCCAAAGTCACACCGTCCTTTTCCAAAAGCTACAGATATTTGACCGGAACTGCTGGCCATGGTTGCAAAAAATCAAATCATACCATGCTTTCTTCACTAGAGAACATCTTTGAAGGAAGTTTGCAATAAATACTATTTCTTTATTTCCCGATTGTTCAGGCCTCTGCCCCAAACAGGCTCCTCTAGCTGCTTTTCTGCAAACAGTGCTGAAACATTAACTTGTCGGAGGGTGGGGGTGGGGAAATCTGAGTGATTCAATCAGATGCGCTCCCACGGAAACAGGATTGTTGTAACATGAAATAAGCTATTTTTTAATTTGTCTTATTTTGCAAACTTTTGCTCAAAAGTGTTCCATTTATCTCAGTATATATTTGATTGAAAGCAAGGCATGGCTTCTGTTCACCTCTCAGAACATGTGCAGCAGTATTTGCTGGTGGATTGGGCCCACTGGCTCAGGTCCTGCTCTCAGCAGTTCATAGCACCTTAAATTTGCTCCTGCACCTTATCACATGGTGGGGGCTAAGTGGGGTCATAGAGATAAGACTGCACTGACCCTCACACACATTGGCACTCACGGTCTGAGAGGAGAGCCCATCCGCTTGAAAAGAAGAGGTGCATAAATGTGGTGGTCTGAATAATATTCAATCAAGAACAGACACAGAGCTGTTCCCAAACATTTCTAACCTTCTACCCCCCGACCCCCGGTAAAACTTTCAAAATTTTGGAAAAGGACCAAAACTGGCATTCCCAATCAATTAGTTCCACCTGTCCTTTTAATTTTTAGCTCTTATCATGTGGAATTCCATTTTTTCTGGATCTGTTTGCTGGAAGGTGCCCCCTCCCAAATACTTTGCGTCTCTCTCTCTCTCTCTCTTTTTGCTCCTAGTCTGACCTAACTCAGAGGTTTATTGTGGGGTAAGGAAGCCGCACGCATGGCAGTATGGATTCAAAGCCAAGTATATGTAAATATAACTAATAATTCATGTTCTTAAAACGTGAGCCTGAGAAGTGGCACACTCAAGGCTATGCAACTGTGCCCTGGAGACAAGACCACTTTAACTGACTGACTCTCCCACAGTCCGACCTGCTGCTCTGTATTCCAAAATCTTCCCCAAAATGGACTGTGTGAGGGGGGGAAGCCCCTCTCTCCTTCCCTTTGCCAAGCCGGGTGTTTATGTGTCAGAGTAAATTTAGCAGCCCCTAGAGAGAACCTTCCGCAGATCACGTGTCCCTGCAGAGGGAAGAGCTGCCCTTTCCAGCCTGGAACAAATTCTAACCCGTTTATCTGTTGTATCAACTTTGGCTCAGATTTTCTCTTTTCTATCTGAGGCTACATTTCAGGTTAAGATTTTTAAAACGAATAAAATACAAACGGCAACACGAGACATATTGAAGGCAATAGCTAGTCAGGACAGCTAAGAAAATCATGTGCCAGATCCTTTTCAAAGACGTAACCGGAGACAGAGAGCTTTCACTCTTGGGCCTTGAGCAGAGGCTCGGCTCCGTTCCCCGGGGACAGAGGGATCTTTTTTCAAACAACCTTTTCCAAAAAGGGCCGGTGGGCAGAAGGGCAGAACTCCCTGGAGGGTGAGAAAGTGGAACACACCCGGAGGCTCTTGAAAACGCCACAGATGCAAACGCCATCACAAGAGGCAGCGTCAGGCAGTAAGCCAGGGCGAAGGAATGGAGGCTTCCCCCCCAGGTGCAGCCTATCGGTCTATCCGCCAAGGGTGGCAAAGGCAGGACACAGGAACGGCCCTCACATAAATGATGATGCTGGCCTAGCGCATCTTTCCCACATCCCTCTGTAGGGGGTGGTGCAACTTCAGCGACCATTATCCCCAGCCTTGCCCTGGGCTTGGAAAAAGGCCGGACGGTACAGACGTTTTATTTGGTCCAGCAGAGGTCGTGGAAGCTGGGCTGTCCTGTCCCAGGAGTGCAGTGGAAGGTGACCCAGAGTGCTTTGAATGCCCTGAAGGGCACATGCACCATGGGACCGTGTGTCCCTCCCGGCATGCAATGCCCTGTCAGCGTGACAAAGTGCAGCCACTTCTGGCACAGAAGGTCTACTGGGAGAGGCGTCTCTTCTTGCTGAAGAGGGCCGGCGGGTGGGTGGCTGGCGCTCCAGCCCAGGCGTCCATGAGAAGTGCGTATACTCAATGCCCGGGAAAGGACATTTTAGCCATAATTTGCTCCTCACACTTGCTATTGCGTATAAGTTTGAAGGCAATTCGTTGCCGTTCCTTGTCAGATATGCTTTTGAAATTAACAGGTTATGTTCCTGGGCTGCAATTCTGGATAATTTTTCTTTTTTTAATTAATTACAAGTGTATGGAAACACCCCTTCATGTTGGTAACATAAAATAGACTGACATAAAATAGGATCTATGCATTGAAAATGTTCCCTAAATGACCCTTGAGAAAGTAACTTTTAGGAGCAACTAGAAACTGTTAAGTCTTTACAACAAAAAAGCAACTTTGTGCCCAAGTAGGAGCCTCACAATTGAAACTCAAGTTTGTGAGGACTTGTTCCCAAAACAAGACAATTGCAGGCAATTCTGTGATTTCTTAACAAATCCTTTCCAAACTCTGCTGTTAGCTTAAATGCAGGGAGGAGGAGGGGGTTTAGCCCTTTCCACCCACACCCCTCCCCACATGGATGAGGGCTTTGGGAAGAGGAGAACTGCCTTGTGCGTCGTTGTTCTGTGTAGGGGGAGTGAGGGGCCCAGGGAGCAATTCAGGGGTTGCTGGACTGCACCTCCCATCAGCCCCAGGCAGGAATGCTGGGTCTTGTAGTCCACAGGTAACCAGAGGGCCACTCTTTGGCCACCTCTGCTCTGCTCTCCTCCCACCCACCTACCTCGCCTGTGTGTGCGCGTGCGTGTCTGTGAAAGAGATGACCAGTGTGCTGCCCTGAGACTCTGCTCTCACCCCCCTGCCTTTTTTTTTCCTTTGCAGGGTCCCACTGGATGTACGCAGGTAAGGAGAGAGACTGGGGGGGGGCGCTGCTGGGCGGTTGGAGTTCTCTGGGCTGGCCTTTCAGAATGCCACCCCCCCTTCTGTCAGGCCCGTGGCAGCGCGCCACACAGCCAAGCCAACACCCTGTTTTGCGTCATCGCTCTTTGACACCCCGTGTCCAACCCCCTCCCTCCTCAGCCATGGTGAGACCTACCTGTCTGGCAAGCGGAGAAGCTCATGGGCACATGTGGGGGGGAGGCTGGCACCAGCCAGAGACAGGGTGACCTCTGGCATCCGTGGGGTCTCCTTTTAAGCCACACACTCTGTGGGACAAAAATGGGGGGGGTTGAGTAAGAGAACATCCCCCAGATCTGCAGAGGGGCCCTCTCCCTTTCAGCCTCCCAGGCTGACCTTCCAGGGCAATGCTGAAATGCGCCCTTCTTTGGCCCTGCCCTGGCCCCACCCTGTTCATCCCCTGGGCTTCCCCTCCGACCCCCTTCCTCGGGTGTTGCCCTTGTGTCTGAGGAAAGGTGACAAGGATCTCGGGCCAGGGACTGGGCTTCCTCCTGCTGGTTGAGGCTGTCTGTGCTCCGGCATCTGAGGATGCTCAGAGAAACCCTCCGTGAGCGCTGGGGCCAACATCTCAGGAGTGTTAAACAGGGACAACCAATAGGTTGAGCGCATGCGTGTGGGAATAGCTGAATTTTGGATGTTTCAATGGAGCAAGGGGACGCCACTTGTCCTGGCCTGCCCTCTCTTCTTGCCATGACCTCTGTGCTTCTGCCCGCAACGTTGACGGTTCTTGCCAGCTTCCAAGGAGACCCAAGAGTCCGATCCATTGAGCGTCCTCATTCCGGACAAGAAGAGAAACAAAAGAAAGCCAAAAGAAAAAAAGGGGGGGAGGAGGAGCCCTTACTCTTTGTTATGTTATGCTTTGGCCGACGCACCTTTGATCCAATTATGCAGGATTGTTCCTTGTTCTTAAATTTGTGGCAGATTCTGGTGTGGATTTGAACAGTTTTATCTGTAAGAGTTGGGACTCGGCTGGCATGCGCACAGGTTGGTGAGTCAGTCAAGAGCCCTCGGGCTTCCCTGGGAAGGCCTGGAGCTTCTCGGACGATAGCTGGCTGGGGAATCCTGAGACCTGTGGACCAAGAAAAACAAACAAACACACGTTTGGCAGCTGTGGGAGGGTCAGGCCTAGGATGCTGGGCCTGGACTTGGGAGGTCCAGGTTCAAGTCTCCCCCACACACACACACACACCTGACTGTGAGCCATGAAAACCACTGGCAGACTCTGGATCACTTCCTCCCTTGGGCCAACCTCACAGGGCTGTTGTGGTGAGGATGAAGAAGACGAGGGAGGAGAAGAGCTGACATGACCATAACTCTAGCAATAAATAAATTAAATAACAGTTTGCAAGGAACATGGCCAATCCATTACTTTTCCAGTTTTGCCAAGGATTCTCTTTTTTAAAAATTAAGTAGAGCAGAAAACAAAACCCATTTGAAAAGCAAGAACTTGAAAGGCAGTTACCATTGTTACCAGTAACTCTTTGTAGTTTTATCCATTGTCGATGCAGTGAATTATTTTGCAGAACACTATAGAAAAAACAAATGCTTTTCAAAAGCACATTTCCAAGCCCTAATGAAGATGGACAGAGATTCACCCAGAGCCAAGGGGCCAGCAGGCTTCTTATAACCCAGCTTCCCTCCTCTTTCCCCATGAGAGCAAGGGGTTTTTATTACACAGGCCTTAGGAACCAAAGGCCAGCTCCCATTCCCCTCGCGCTCCTCATGGCCTACACTCCATGTCACGGGGATCCATCCTACACCCCCATTTCCCCACAGCGCCTTTTCTAAAAATGACGGAGTGTGTTTTCTAGAGCCTCTTGTTTGTTTTTCCTGGTTAAAACTCTCCACACCAAATCTCTGTTCCAATTAGGAAGAAAATCAACCAAAAAGAGAGAGAGAGAGAGAGAGAGAGAGAGAGAGAGAGACCCCCTCCCCACGTTGTTCCAAAGAGTGGAGTGCCACTGCGTTCAGCCAGGCATGCTTGATCCTCTTCCACCGGGTCTAGTGACGGTAATCCGTACCCTGAGCTCACCCTGAGCTTCCAGCCCTCAGAAACACAAAGGCATTGTTGGGAAACTAAGGAGAGCTTAGCCTGGCGGCAGCAAAGTTAACTAAGATGCCCAGAGAGGGCCCTGTGTATTTGGCAGGGTCTCAGATACACGGAACTTGAAAATATGACTGTTTTTTTAAAACTACAACTCCCACCTAGTTTTTAAACTACATTTCCCATGGGCTGCGAGATTCCAAGAGGATCCATCCAAAGGAGAGTCAGTTCCAGGCTCTGCCCACCAACCCCAACCACCCGCCCCTCCCCAAACATTTCAAAATGGGTGAAAATTCACAGAAACGCCATCACAGGACAAGGGCTAACACTTGTTAGTGCTGGCCAGGTCTCTGGGCACTGGCCAAAGACCAAAGGACCGGTGAGGCTTCCTCCTGGTCTCCAGCCAGGCCAGGAGACAAACTGCAGGCCAAGCAGCCCAGGAGGAAAAACACTGTTTCTTACTTGGGAGGTGAGTTTCAACCATCTCCTCCCAATGCCCACCGTTTCCCACTGGCATCAGAGCTCTCTGACTCAGGGTGAAGTGGCTTGGATGGGGACTGTGCTTAAGCAACATCTGCTGGCCAAAAAAAAAAGAGGGTAGGAATGAGAAGCCCCAAGGATGGAAGCCTGAATTAGGCAGGTGCCCCAAGGATCCTGGATTCTTTACCCTTTGGGCAATCAGCAAGCCCAAATGTTGCCCTGTCCCCTACCAGCCCTTCCCTGCCCCATCTCTGGGGCATTATAAGGAACTCTTGTAGCCTCGTCTCAGATTCTGACCCTGATTCCCAGCGGATGAAAGGCTGCTGAGTCAGCCGTCAAACCGTTTCCCCCCCCCCCATGGGCATCTGATCCCCTAGTAGGAAAAAAAAACAGAGAGTATAACAAAAGAAGCCAGCAGTAACGTTCTCAACCACAGCTCAATGGAAATCCTTGCCTGGTAAAGTTCTGGGGAATACGTCTCCCAGAATCCCCTCATGGTCACAGGTGCTGGCCAGGCTAGCTAGTCCAACTAAGCATCAGTCCAGACAACATCACAGAGATTCCTACAGAGATTCCTACAGACAAGAGGGGAGACGTTAGATTTGCATCGGTCGGCTTAATCGATCAATATGCCTTTGATCAACCCAAATCGCTGCCCCCCTTTTTTCACCAAAACTATTGGTCTTTACAACCCAACTCTTTTATTTTCTTGCTCATCCTTTCTGCGTGCTTCCCAAGCGCAGAAAATTCTGAGCCTCTCCTACTGTAGAGAAACAAGAGTGGAGCATCTGCACTCGTTTGGTTCACGGCTGGGAATCTGACTCTGTTTGTCTTTCCTTTTCCAACGTGTGCAGTAACTTTAAGCTCCCCGGCCACCAGAATAACAGCAGTGCGGATGAAGCCGGCAAAACAAGCAGCTTTGTCCTGGCTGACCCGCTTGCTTTGGGGGGAAAAATATTTTCCACCAACGAACAAACGAGTGAGCAAACATGCCAAGCGCCTGCATTCAGATGCAGGGAAGCGTACCGAGTTAGTTTGTCCTCGGCTGGGGCACCATTCATGAAGGCAGCCCTCTTTCAGAACTTGACGGGTCTTCTTGGAGCCAGTTTCCCCCCCAATGAAAAGCTCGCCCTTTCTCATTACACACACCAGAGATCGGTGCCAGGGCCTGGAAGCCAATGAGGGTGTCCCCCACATGCAGGTTAAACACTCTTTCTGGCTGGATGTGGAAGGAGACCCTCTGGCTTTCCCTCGTGACAAGAGGACAGGTCTCGTCTCCTGCCTTGGTGCCAGTTGGAAGTCTGCTCTTGACTCTGAAATCCCTCTGAGGGAAAGCAGGTTCCCCAAAATGTCATCTCTCCGCCCTTTGCTGACAGAGATTAGCTTTCAGTGTGTAGAGACGGCCTTTCCTTTATGCTTGGAAGAAGCTGCCCTAGACATCTGAAACAACTTTCCTCAAAAACGGTGCCTTCCAGAGGTGTGGGACAATATCTGTGGTGGCTGGGGTGATGGGAGATGTTGCCCTATACGCACATCTGGAAGGTATCACATTGCAGAAGGTTGTGCTAGGAGCACAGAATGAGCTTTATAAAGCCAAGAAGCCACAAGATCTCACCTGATGCTCTGTCTTTCTCCTTCCAGGGTCCCACGGGCAGGAGCACTGGCCAGACACGTATCCAGACTGCGGGTGGCGGTCTCAGTCCCCCATCAATATTGAAACCGGCTCCGTGCAGTATGACCCTTCCCTGCCTCCGATTGAGCCAGAGGGTTACCGGGATCCTGGAGGAGAGGAGTTCACTTTGATCAATAATGGGCACACAGGTGAGCCTGTGGGCAGGATGTGGCCTCTGGGGCTACTCTTCCTTCTGCATGGGCTCTTCCCAATCCTAAATCCCAGATTTCCCCAAGATTACAAGGGTTGCAAAGAGGGTTACAGAGTTCCCCCTGATTTTCCTCCCCCTCACCCAATTTCTTGTCACCAAGAAAGTTGACAGTCACCGACCTGCTTGCTTCTTTTCACAACCTTGGCGACTCGGAAGTTTGCTTTACAAATAGAAAATCTAGGCTGGGAACCTGCAGGGATGCTCAGTTTCAGACCCAGCCTAGTTTCTTAGCCTCTCCAGGGTGCCAAAGCAAGGGCTCCCCCACCCTGATTCCCTCCCCCCTCCCGAGGCTAACAGCAGCTCACGGGTCATATCTTCCCGTGCAGTGCAGATGTCTTTGCCTCCGAGCATGCGCTTGCATGGCCTTCCCCGGATCTACTCCGCCGTTCAGCTGCACTTCCACTGGGGTCGCAAGGGAGAGGCCGAGGGGTCTGAGCACCAAGTGGACGGCCAGGCCTTTCCCGCAGAGGTAAGCAAGCCTGTGCTTTCTGGGGTGGGGTGGGGAGTGCCTTGGAAACTGTGACTCTGTGGACTTATGTCCCTCATCTGTGATGTCCTCTTCCTATGTTTTTGCTCCTGGATCAGTGGAAACATCTACATTCTCCTTTTCCTTGACGGAAGCCGACTAAAAAACGCAAGGAATAATCAGCAGTCAGCCTCTGCTGTCTTCCATAGTAAGATATAGCCAGATAGACTGCTCCTTCTTGTGGAGGCTCTGTTTAGGGTTCATGAATAACAGCGGAAGGCGGAGAGGCTTACTCTGCAGTCAGACCTATTCAATTTTGCTCAGCTCTCATTTTGCCAGGGCCCCATCCTTCAGTTTCTCTCTTCTGTCTCTGTTTCCTCTACAAAACAGAGAGAGAGAGAGAGAGAGAGAGACTCACAGATTTCTCCACACAACTGCACTGTAGCATATTTGGCAACCCTGAAGCGTACTCCCATCCATGGGATCCAAAACTAATTTGTGACATTGTTTTAGAAGGATGGAGGACTTTAGCAGGACTAAATCCTCTCAAGTTCACAGAGGGGCAAGAAGGGATTAACAAAAGGCAAATTGGGGTCAGGAAGAATTAAGGAAGTGTGGGAGACAGCAGAAAAGGGGGGGGTGAGTGCGAGACCACACATCTTCCATAGGAAGTGCTGGAGGACACCTCAGTTGACCCAACAGCATCCAGTTCCTGGCCATTTGAAGGGAAACGTGGGAAAATGCCACAGCGAGTCACGGGCCCTGGATTCCCACTGAGGACAGTCCGAGGGCAGAGATTGGAAATAAAAGTGACAAGCATGCAATTACCGACAGTAAATTGCTTTTCTCTAAACCAGGCTTTAACTAAGTTACCGTGAAACAGGACATAAGTTACCTTTTGCATGGGAAGTGTAATATGCTTTTCAGTTACTTTTAACATCACTTTTTTAAAAGAGTCCTTTGAGAGAAATTGTTCAGGTTTTTATGCCACGCTTTTAGCAATCCTGTGGTTCCATCAGAAAGAAACAATGGATAAAGAAAAGCAATGTAACCAGCTCATCCAGTTCCAGAAACCCTAAAAGTAACCAATTACTTTTGGAGGAGCTCTGAAACATGTCACATAACAAATAATAATAATATTTTAAAAAACATCATGTCAGGAGAATCCTTGTGGCGCTTTTCCCTGGATAAATTTATGGAAGAAATTCTCCACAAGCCTCTCGAAACAAAGCCCCTGAGAGAGAGTTTGCAGAAACAGTCCTTCCGCATTTCCTCCTTTTCCAGCCAGAAAGACCATCGCTGCCTCACTGCCGACTTTGTTGTTTTTCAGCTCTGCTGTGTGTTTTGTGAAATGGGGCAACCTGAATTGTTCAGGGACAGCTCGTGGTCCAAGCAGGGAATGTGGGCTCACCCTCATGTTTGCTGACAAGCCTCCTCCCTGCTCAGACCACAGGCTGCCTACGGAACTCCTGCACACAGTATTCAAAGGGTGGCTGCATTGGGAGGTTTATATAAGGCCGCCTGGCTACCTGCTGCCATCATTTCCACGATGCTCCTGATGCTTCCTAGCTGACAGTGTCTCTCGTTCTTTGTCCGCCAGCTTCACGTTGTTCATTTCAACTCGGAGAGGTACGCCAACGTGAGTGAGGCCAAACACCAGCCAGATGGGCTGGCCGTGCTGGGCGTTTTTCTGGAGGTGAGCTCATGTCCTGTCCAAACCAAGACCAGAAAGAATTAGGATGAGCATTAAGTTGGTCCAGATCTACTGGTAGGTCTCCAGGTGCTTTGAAATCGATACGGTCAAGATTTCTGTGACTCTCAAACATTCAGCAACAGCAGACATTGACTAACTGACTCTCCCCTAAAAAAATATATATCTCTCGCAGAAATGAAAAAAGAAAAAAAAAGAGGAGGTTGAATTATGAGATAGAAAGGCTCTTGAGTTCTATTTGTTCCTGTTGCAAATTCCTAGGCCCCAAATTCTTCTAAATAAGGGTTTTACTTTGGGAATGTTAGGATTGTGGTAAAAATAACTAAATAATTGGTGGAAGACATCCCCCCCCAAAGCCTGAAGCCTCCCCAACTTACAAGGGCCAAACTTCTGGCTGCAGTAGAAATGACCACACAAAGTCCTTCCGTGCCTCTGGTACATCCAGTTACGGGACATCTGACCAATATTTATAATAGAGCTGCTCCTTCCAGTTGCATTAACCAAAGCTACGGTGCTGTCTTCTGGCAGTGGAAGGTACTACTACAATAGGAACTGCAATGCACTCAGTTGCTGTCCAATTAACTCATAATTAACTTCCCCTCTGACTCCTGCTGCCCTTTTATTATCTTCCCCACTGTGGAAATAAACCTTGTAAGTTCCAAGTCCCTGTCAAGCAGCAGCTGAAAGGATGGCACTACAGAAATGTATTGAAAAAAACTAACATAATCACAGCTGAGTTGTTTCTCCCTTCTTTCTGGCAGACAGGCGATGAAGACAACCCTGCCTATGATCATATCCTGAAACATCTAGACGACATCAAATATGCAGGTAAAGTTCACGGAAAGGGTTTTGTGTAAATGGAAGGGGGTGCAAGAGGCACAAAAAAAGTTGTTCAAGGGTGCAGGGAAGGAAACCCGCAGGGCGCAAAATCCACCCCTCATGCTTGTCCAACAAGGATTATGAGAAGCCGTGCGCTCTCTGCATATGCTCCTTCTGTGATCTCACACACACGCAGGCCCCTCAAACGGCACCATTTTGCCAAGGGAGCACATTGAAAACATTTGATGATATTAGAACTCCAACAACAACATGACAAAGAAGAAGAGAAATCAGATGGTATCCCTTCTTTCTCAGCCCACCCCTCCACCCTAAAACAGATCTAAAAGCAGGGTTGCTGAGAAGACCTCTGATCTCTCATAAAAGTAGTCTGCCCTTTAACATCTACTATTCCTGGCCCCACGACACCCTGACAAGAGCTTGCGACCTCTCTGTGTGTGTAAGGGCTCACCTGCCAAGCACTGACTTCCTCACGGAGGCCGCCTTTGGGGAGTTCCCATCAGCCACTACTGGCCTTTCTGCCTGGGAGGCTCCTGGGAGCTCGAGGCCAGAAGGACCGTCTCCCAACTCCACCTGTGAGGGGACCATAGAATGGCAGAGCCGCCAGGGGCCCCAAAGGAGCCCATCCCTTTCCAGCTGGTGCAAGGAGTCCACAGCTGGAACACTCTGGACTTACAGCCATCCACTTTCTGCTGCAAACCTTCCAAGCAAAAAAGAGGAAATGGGTGTTTCATTTGCTCCCTTGGTTTTTTTCTCTCTTCCCCACGGCCTCATCTCCTAACCCTGCCAGAGCAGGAAATACCTGTGGAACCCTTCGATGTGCGCGAGTTACTGCCGACGCATTTAGGCCATTACTTCCGCTACAACGGCTCTCTGACCACTCCGCCGTGCTACCAGAGCGTGCTGTGGACCGTCTTCCACCAGCCAGCTCACCTCTCTGTTGCCCAGGTAGCTATTGGAAAACTGGTTCTTTCGGCTCTCCTGTCAGCCTGCAGGCTTCCGACCCTGCTGCTGTTAAAAATAGTGGCCTCTGTGCACGCATGTGATATGTGTGTTTAGGCAGCCACCGGCAAAAAGGACTGGTAGTAAAAATATTTGAAACAGACGAATACTGTAGAAACAATGGTTCAAGAATCAGGAGCCATCTAGGTTGTGGCACTTGCCTGCCTCAGCGGGTGTACCTCCTCCGTCTGTCCGAAAGGGGCTTTGGGCGTTGCTGTACGAGCGACTGCCTCTGTGACTTCAGGCGGGGTGCGATGTTTTTCTTGGCCTGTCTTTGTCGCCGAGGACTGACTCCTGTGTCCCCCATACCCTTCCAGCTGGAGAAACTGCAGAGGTCGGTGTATGCCACGGAAGAAGGAAAGAGCCCTGAAGTGCTGCTGGCAGATAACTTCCGAATCCCTCAACTCTTGAACCAACGAGTGGTGTTTTCCTCCTTTCTGACAGGTGAGTGGAGGAAGTTGCTGGTGGGTGCCAGCGCAGGCCTTTGGCCAACTTCAGGGGCCTGCATAGTTAGACTAAGCATGTTTACTCAGATGGAAGAGTCCCTGGGCCCTGCTGGATTGACTCCTGGGGAAGTGTGTTGAGGTTCAGGAACAAGACAGCCCTGGAATGAATCAGATCCAACCAGATAGCCATCGAGTGCAACTCTCTGTTCTCATTGGGGCCACCCAGTCGCCAGAACAGAAGGTCCAACAGGCTGCGCGGTCCTCCTCACATTCTCCAGAAACTGCCGTTATGGAGGGAGGCCCACGGGATGATACAGAGCCAACCTGAATGGCAGCGAGACCCATGTCTCTAATCTCAACAAATCGATCCAATTCCCTTGTAAAGCCACCTGAGTTGGCAGCCATCGCAACTTCTTAGGGCGGTCAGTTTCACAGCTGAACACGGCACTTGAGTGGAAAAGTCTGCCTGTTTCTCTGGTCCTCATCACCCGTCTGCCAGTTCTAGGAGACGATCACGGCTCTGTTTTAGTACCAAGGTGGCAGGCCTCCCTCCTTCCATCAATGTTTCCCACTCTGTGCAGCCTCAGAGCCTTCTCTGTGCAAAAGTAGAGGGGATCAAAGTGAAAACACTGCCAAAGCCTGCAAAAACAATGAATTAAAAGATTAAATTGTGCAGTTCATTTAACAAAGCGTAAATGCAAGGAAGGCTGGTGATGACGCTCTGCCACTTGTGCTTGCCAGCTTTTTTGTTAGGCCCCGATCCCTGTGCCTTTTATGGCTGTTTTATCTGCAGTGTTTTTGCTCCATCCATCCCATGGAAAAAAAACAGACCTGTTCATTGTTTTCAGGTTAAGTTGCCACTAAAATGAGAGGGAAAGAGCAAACAAACCTTCCTGGAACAGAACTGAAAAGGGGCAATGAAGAGATGGGATGATACCGCCATCTACTGGGGAAAAAAAGGGATACCATTTTTGTTTGCTGGACAAAAGCCGAGGGCTGTCATTCCCTGTAGTAGCAAATCCGGAATCCAGGCTGGAGATTGGCCAGACAGCTCATTTGCATTACAAATGCCTTCCAGTTCTCTTCTAGGCACTATTAATATAACATAGCGAAACAGAAGATGTAGCTCATCCGTGTTCACGGCCTCCAGCCTTCTCCTGATGAAGCTGGAAGCACGAAGTGGGATTTTCATGAGTAAACATGAGTAACATCAGGATATAAGGGATGAAAGATGCCACCTGATCCAAAAGATCTTATTGAATGAATTGCTTTCATTGTGTGATGAATTAGCCAGGCAAGAATTACGAAAGACGGAAAGAAGTACACATTGATTTGATGTGATCAAAGCCTCAATAACTCTGTGGTTGGCAGGTTAGAAGCACTCTCACAGCCTGGTGCCTTAATGTGCTTAAAGCTTCAGCTCCCATCATCCACATCTAGGGTGGCAAATGACAGTGGGAGGTGTAGTCCCGTACATGAGACAAGTGTGAGACCTCCTCATACAAGTGGAAAAGTAAGCAGTGCTTCTAAGAGGGCGTGAGATGAGGCACCTTCCCGTATGTCAGAAGTCATCTCTTTCAGAAAGCTGTCAGCTGGCTGCCGTTTCTCCGTCTTTTCTGCTCAGCAGAGATTTTTGAAGGGAATGATACCCAAAACCTTTCATTATAGCAGAGCATCGAGGCAGTCATCCCTGAGCGATGCCTGCTGGTTCTTTGCTGTTCCATGGGACTGCCTTTGTTGTGTTAGTCACATTTTTTTTAATGCAGGAGAGGGGAGGTGGCTTCCCAAACACACAGAGAGAACTAAGTCTTCTATCCTTTTGTCTCTTTCCTTTTACCCTGACAGAGCCTTCTGGTTACTCAGCAGGTAAGTTTGACTCTTGATCCCTCAGTATGGGGTGGGGGGAGGCAGCAATTAACAGGCGCAATTAGAGACAGTGAAAAGTGAGGGAAAATTCGCCTTTTCTGGACGACTGTTCCCAGAATTCTCCAGCCCAGTGTCTTGGGAGGAGTTTTAGTCCAAAGTACTTTGCCTCTGTGAGTTCCAGAACTTCAAAAGGCAAGACAAGAATTCGTTTCCGTTGGGGCTCAGGTGGTGTGTGGGGAGAGAGGAAGGGCTTCCGTGCTTCCACTCAGAAAGTCCCACAAGCATGCCAAGGACACTTCAAGTCAAAAGACCTCCCCGGCCAGCCTCCTGAACAATTCCAGAATGGAGGCTTCTTAATATCAAGAAAAAAAGCTCACCCCAGAATCGAGATGCTTCACCAGTTGACTTCCTGGCATGCGCCTGTTCACAGCTCTCTTGCCCCCAGCGAGGAAGCCGCCTGCATCCCAACAATTTCTAGCCTTGAGTTGGGTGTTCTATATTTTTGGTGAACTGAAGGCCTCCTTCTACTTCCTTCTCTTGCAGGCGAGATTGTCGCCATCATCTTTGGGGTGCTCTTGGGCTGCCTGGGCATGTTCCTTGCCGGATGGGTTGTGGCAAAGAGAATACGGTGAGACGCAGGTGGGCGCCGGGAGCCGAGCCATTTTCTCCTCCCTGCAGGAGAGGCATCCCCTGCTCAGCCTCTGACGGAGGAGACGTCCAGAGTGGGGTCTGCTGCAAGTGGGCCCCTTCTCCTGGACTGAGGCAGTTTGGGAGTTTTTGCCCTGGAGCGCCCTCCTTGGGTTTGTCAAGAGCGTGCTTCCGGTAATGGATCAGGGCCCTCCGGGGCTGCCACACAATAAAAAAGGAGTTTTCAACGACATTGATGAGTCCTGGTGATTTAGATGTTCAGGGAGCAACCTTACCAGGGCGCTCTCATTAGAACAAGGAGCAGCTCCTTTGGGGCAGTAACCTCACCCTCCTCCTGGCCCCACGCTGAAGGGGGCTTCTGCCTCCTTCCAAACAAGACTGCCACCTTGTTCTGTTGAGACAGCCCGGCAGAGTTTAGAGGAATCAATCAAGGAGGTGGTCTGGCTCTGAACAGAAGCAAAGAGCATCCAGGGGCATGGCTTAGTGGCACACCCTGAACGCCTGAACCGTCCGAGCCTTCTTGTGACGCAAGGGCACATTTCCCCACCTGCTCTTGCCACAACACCCTCTCCAACCAGTGCAAGGCAGTCCCATCAAGGACCACCACGTAAACCATGCCTTGGGTTTTCCAGGCTCTGCTCTTTCCAGGTCTCCAAAATGCACACACACAACCATCCCCTCCTTTTAGAAAGCACCGCCTGCTGTCGAACCGTTTGCTCCACCACCTTACTGCACTTACTCAGACGAACTTCTCCTGTCTGTATTTTGGGAATAAAAACATGGGAGCAAAGGCTTTCGGGAGACTGGGCCCAAGCACATGGCGCTTGTTTATGCTCCGGTTGTGTGGGGTGAGAACGGAGGGCCAGGAAAGTGATGGGCATCTGCCCTGGACGGTTAGCTTACCGAGGCCACCGGAGGATGCCTCTATCATCTTCCTAAAGGCAAACCTCAGGCAAAGCAACAACAGGCAGAAACACAAGGAAGGGTGTTGCAAAGATCCACAAGTAGTCTTTTAGAGGCTCCTTCATCCTTAGCCAGTGGGGTAGGGATGATAGGGTCCGTAACTGGACCCACCTGGAAGTCACCACGCTGGGTGAGACTGACATACAGAACGGGGGTTCCTCCAGGGCAAGAAAGCTCCAGCGTGGTCGGGAACGCCCTGCTGGGTGCTCCTCTGCGCAGGCGACCTGTTGGTGGAGATGCCACCAAATTCCATGCCTTCTGGGAGCTTAGTGTCAAAAGACTGGGCAGTTTGTTCCTGAGCAAAAGCAAGGGGCAGCAAAGAATTTGCTCTCTTCACATTCCATACCAAAAATAGCTGGAGGTCTCTCGGTTTAGGGCTGGGGGAGTGGGGAGTGCTCCTTCCTCTCCTCCCCTGCAGGGAAGGCCTCCCGGTGCAGGCAACTTGCCTTTGGCTTTTACTTCTGAGCAGGGGCGAGTGAACCAGCCACCCCTTTCCTCCCTCCCACCCAGAAATGCCTCTGAAAAGCTTAACCCAGTGCAATCTCTTTACCTGAGCACAAAGGAGGTCACGCCTTCCGCCTGCAGACAGATTCCATCAAGAAGGGGGGGGATTCTCTTGCAGCTGGGGGGGAGCAGAATCCTTTTCAGAGAAGCTTTCGGAGGGCTACGGTCCAGTGGTTTAGCAAACTGACTGAAAAAGACCCAGAATACCGGCCCACTTTAGCCTGATGTTCTGCCCTCATGGCTGTGGCAGGTGGGCCTTCTACATGTGAAGCCCTAACCTGCGGGGGGAGGGGGGGTCACAATTTTTCTGCTGCCTCGTCCACACACACCCCATAACAGCAAAACAGCTTCGTGCTCAGCTTTTCCACAATTCCAACTCTGCCAAAGGGTGGTGTGGCTTTGCCCCAGCGAGGGAGGCAGCCGAAGGACCCCTTCCTGGCCAAGAAAGGACACCACGCCAATCCCAAGAAAAGCCCTTTTATTGATTGCTCCAGTGGGAATGAGTGGGTGAAGAAGGATCAGACTGTTTTCAAAAGGACCAACACTTTTTCAAAGGGACTATCTTAGATGCACCCTCCATCCCACCTGTGCTTGCAGCAGGAAGTGTTTTAGTGTAGACGGGTGGGCAATGCCTGGCCAGCAGATGGCGTTGCTGTGGCCCGCTGTGCCTGCCTGCCTGCCTAAACGGGGGGGGGGGGGGGGTGGGGG